GGTGTGATGTGTCCAGTGTGGGCACTCCAAGCCAGGACTGGTTTTCAAGCGGGGCACCCCTGAGAACTGTCTGTCCGGGGTGGGGGTCGGGTCCCTTTAAGCGCAGCCCTCGGCTAGCCTGAGACAGCATCTCCACGCTCTAAGTCCTCCTCTGATGCCCTGCCGGCACTGCTTCCGGCCATCCTTAAGCCCTGTTCAGGGTCCACTCTGTGTGGACATGCTAGTTCGAATTAGCAAAACGCTAATTCGAACTAGTTTTTAGTTCTAGACACGTTAGTTTGAATTAGCTGAGTTCGAATTAACTAATTCGAACTAAGTTAGTTCGAATTAGCACTGTAGTGTAGACATACCCGGAGATAATAGACCATCACTCCACCTGGGCAAGGACACTATTTACGTACGTCCAGGTAGTGGGTCATCGGTCTTTCCACTCCCAGTTACACCACATTTATCTTTCTTGTCATTATCTCTTCCAGGTTCACTTCTCCAGCATTAGGCCAGCCCCGTTCTCAGATCACCACTTTGTGGCCATGACAGGCTCTCTTTCTTCAGAGAGGCTGGGGCTGGCCTACTGGTATTTAGCCTGCTGGAGGATGTGGGCTTCATAGCATCCTTCCCGGAGTTCTGGCTGGCCTGCCACGGGTGGCAGTGCGCCTTTCCTTTGGTGCGGCAGTGGTGGGATGTGGGGAAGGTGCGCACATGGCTCTTCTGCTATGACTTCACCCGGGTGGTCAGCTGGCAGAGGGATGCAGCAGTAGAGCAGTTGGAATGGGAGGTCTTTGAGCCAGAGAGGTGGGTGGCTGGCCGCCAGCCCGGAGATCCAGCCCTTTGTGGAGCATACCGGGAGAAATGGGAGGAACTGCAGGCCCTCGAGGACCTTCGGGCCCGGGGTGCCTTTGTTCATTCTTGCATCCATCTCCTTCAGGAGATGGATTGCAGCTCTCTCTTTTTCTACACCCTTGACTCATTGTCTGCCTTCTGGCCTAAGATGGCGCCCCCCCTCACTGAGATGCACGAGAGGGCTTGTGACTTCTACCCCTCTCTGTTTTCCCCCCTGATCCAGCCAGTGCCCACAGGGTTCTCTGGAACAAACTTCTGATGGTCAGTGTGGGCAATCAGGACCAGCTAGAGCTGCCTCTCTTCTGGCTGAGTTCTTGGAAGCCCTCCATGTCATGCCTACCAGCAAATCCCTGGTCATGGATGGGCTGACCGTGAAGTTCTACTGTGTGTTCTGGGACATCCTCGGCCTGGACCTTGCTTGCTTTTGGGCACAGTCCTTGGAGAGCGGGGTCCTCCTTTCATTGTGTAGGTGAGCTGTGCTCGCCATGCTGCCTAAGAGGGGGAACCTCCGTGATCTGAGGAATTGGCGTCCCATCTTGCTCCTCAGCATGGACTATAAAATCTTTGCCAAAGCCATCTCCCTATCACTAAAGTCTGTGCTGGTGGACGTGGTCCTTCTTGACAAGACCTACACCATCCCAGGCTGTACCATCTGTGACAACCTCTTCCTGGTCCAGGATCTTCTAGAGCTAGGGAGTTGGGAAGGTCTGTCATTCGCCCTTTTGTCCTTGGATCAGGAGAAGGCGTTTGACTGGATGAACCATGGGCCCCATTTTGTGGAGTTTCTCCAGGTGGTGTACGCCTCCGCAGAGTGCTTGGTCAGCTCAACTGGACCCTAACCGCACTGGTCAGCTTTGGGTTGGGAGTACGTCATAGCTGTCTGCTGTCAGGCCAGCTGTACGCTCTGACAATGGAGCCCTTCCTCCATCTCCTTTGCAAGAGGTTGATGAGGTTGGTGCTTTGTGAGCCGGAGATGAGGCTGATCCTGTCGGCGTATGCCATTGACATGCTCCTTGAGGTCCAGGATCCAGGAGACCTGGCAAGGGTGGAGGCTTGCCAAGCCATCTACTTGATGGCCTCCTCTGCTCAGGTTAACTGGGTCAAGATCTCTGGCTTTGTGGTAGGGGCTGGGTAGCAGGCGGGCTCCCTCCCACCCATACTTCAGGCCATCAAGTGGAGTGCAGGTCCGCTGCTCTATCCAGGTGTTTTTCTCTCTGCCACACATCCCCCTCTGCTGGAGAACTGGCAAGGTTTAGAGTTCAGGGTGGTTGAGTGGTAGTGGAGATGGACAGGACTCCTTTGGTTCCTCTCTGTGGGAGAGCACTGGTACTTAACCAATTGGACTGTCCATGCTTTGGCTCTGTCTCAACACCCTGGTCCCGTCCCCGGGTTTCCTGGCTTATATCCAGCAGCTAATGCTGCATTTTTTCTGGCTAGGACTGCACTGGATCTCTGCAGGGGTTCTCCTCTAGAGGGAGATGGAGGGAGGGCAGGGCCTGACATGTTTGCATATGTGGGTTCATGTCCTCTACCTCCGGGCCCTGCAGAGACTCCTATTTGATGCAGGTAGTCCGGTGTGGAACACACTTGTGCATGCTTTCCTTTGCTGCTTCTGAGGGCTCCAATATGACCGGCAGTTCCTTTATTTGAGAGGTCTTCTGCGAGACCTCTCCAGGATGCCGGCCTTCTACCAGGACCTCCTTTGAGCCTGGAAGCTGCTTGTGGGGGCCAGGTCTTTGGGAGCCACTATGGGGGCAGATCTCGCGAGACCCTGCTACATAATATATGTGCAGGCGGCAGAGTTCCCCTCGGTGCATCAGAGGTTGGTCCTGGCAGGGCCCAACCAGAGAAGGAAATTGGGGTCAGGAGTGTAGAGCATAGGCAGGACGTGAAGCAGCCAGCCAAGGTTTCACTTAAATACTCAGGCAACTTCCTCTGCCTCCTTCTGCCCCATGTAGAGCATCTGAGCCAAAGATCAGGGCAAGCCCAGCCCAGTAGCCAGAAGTTTTGTGGACAGAGCCTTGGGGAGCTAGAGCTCTGCTGGGTCTCATAGACTTTAAGGTCAGAAGGGACCATTATGATCATCTAGTCTCACCCCCTGCACAGTGCAGGCCACAGAATCTCACCCACCCCTTCCTAGAATAGTCCTCTCATATATCTCAGATATCGAAGCTTTCAAATACTTTGAAGACCCCAAGATGCAGAGAACCCTCCAGCTGTGATCTGTACCCCATGCTACAGAGAAAGGCGAAAAACTTCCAGGGTCTCTGCCAATCTACCCTGGAGGAAAATTCCTTCCCGACCCCAAATATGGCGATCAGTTAAACCCTCAGCATGTGAGCAAAACTCACCAGCCAGACACCCAGAAAAAAGTTCTCTATAGTAACTCCTATCATCCCTCCATTGACCTATTTACCACTGATAATGAATGGTCAATTAGTTACCAAGATCATGTTATCTCATCAAACCATCCCCTTCATAAACCCATCTAGTTTAATCTTGAAGCCAGATAGATCTTTTGTCCCCACTACTTCCCTTGGAAGGCTGTTCCAGAACCTCACTCCTCTAATGGTTAGAAACCTTCGTCTAATCTCAAGTCTAAACTTCCTACTAGCCAGCTTATATCCATTTGTTCTTGTGTCCGCATTGGTATTAAGCTTAAATAATTCCTCTCCCTCCCTGGTATTTATCCCTCTAATATATTTAAAGAGTGCAATCATGTCCCCCCTCAGCCTTCTTTTGGTTAAGGTAAACAAGCCAAGCTCCTTGAGTCTCCTTTCATAAGACAGGTTTTCCATTCCTCGGATCATCCTAGTGGGCCTTTGTTTTACCTGTTCCAGTTTGAATTCATCCTTCTTAAACATGGGAGACCAGAACTGCACACAGTAGTCCAAATGGGGTCTCACCAATGCCTTGTATAATGGCACTAACACCTCCTTAACCCTACTGGAAATACCTCGCCTAATACATCCCAAGACCGTATTCGCCTTTTCATGGCCATGTCACAATGGCGGCTCATAGTCATCCTATAATCAACCAGGACTCCAAGGTCCTTCTCCTCCGTTACTTCCAACTGATGTGTCCCCAGCTTATAACTAAGATTCTTGTTATTAATCCCTAAATGCATAACCTTATACTTCTCACTATTAAATTTCATCCTATTGCTATCTCTCCAATTTACAAGGTCATCCAAATCTTCCTGTATGATATCCCGATCCTTTTCTGAATTGGCAATACCTCCCAACTTTGTGTCATCCGCAGATTTTATCAGGACACTTCCACTTTTGGTGCGAAGGTCAACGATAAAAAGATTAAATAAAATTGGCCCCAAAACTGATCCCTGAGGAACTCTGCTAGTAACCTTCCTCCACCTTTCAGTATGACCTGCTTTAGTCTCCTCTTTAACCAGTTGCTTATCCACCTCTCAACTTTCATATTAATCCCTATCTTTTCCAATTTAACCAATAATTCCCCACGTGGTACTGTATCAAATGCCTTACTAAAGTTGAGGTAGATTAGATCCACTGCATTTCCTTTATCTAAAAAAAACTGTTACTTTCTCAAATAAGGAGATCGGGTTGGTTTGGCACGATCTACCTTTTGTAAAACCATGTTGTAATTTGTCCCAATTGCCATTAGCCTCAATGTCTCTAACTACTTTCTCCTTCAAAATTTTTTCCAAAATCTTGCATACTACAGATGTCAAACTAACAGGCCTATAGTTACCCAGGTCCTTCCTCTCCAAGTCCTAGTGACCTGCCATGTGGCCACGGCAGTCTGAGCCGTACCTAGAGACCTTGGTGTCAGACCTGCAAGCCCACTAGAGCTCCGCTTCTGAGCAGTGTGTTCCTGTCCAGCCCTGGGATGCCAGGGGGATGGAACGGGCTGCGAGGGGGACTGAGTTGTACCCTAGAGAGTGCAGCAGAGTGCTCAGCTCCCCATGGGAATGAGCTGGGCAATTCCCTAGGCAGGCGATGGGGGTGATGCACCTTTACTGCAGGCAAGTGTGTCCTGGGCTCTTGTACAAGCCAGAGCCCAGTCTCTGCAAGGTGGGAAAAGGAGCCTTTCTGGCTGGGTGACTCGGATACTGGCTGTGGAAACAGTAATGGCACAGACCTTAATGAATAAGATCAGCACTTGGTTCGTTGCTCTCCAAACAGGATTTCCAGTCTCTGAAACTGATGTGATCTCCTGGGTGGAACGAGAGGAGGAGTTGCGGGTCCTAGATCCCCAGAGCCGTCAGGAAGGAGAGATCATCAGCAACATCCACACAGGTAAGCAATCAGTTAAGCTGACTCAAACCAATTTCTGTCTCTGAGATGTAACTTGTGTGTTTTTATGAAGTCTGTCTGTTCAGCTTGTCTTCAACTCCCATCAGTCTGTGGTGGGTGTGGAAAGGCTGGTTTCTCTCCTCTGTGGAAGGTTTGTGAAGGAGGAGGATGAACTCAGCTCATGATAATTCAACCATTATTTGAGTATCCCCCCTTTTTCTATTTCTCTTTGTTTCCTTTAAGGTTATCATGGAGAATAACTCCCATCTGGATTATTTCTCTATCCCAACAGGTGAGGGGATACTGACTGAGAACCATAAGAGTCTTCAGAAGGAAGGACTGCAGGAAGTGGCTCTATGGTTTCCAGATATGTGAGCAAGGAGAGAGCTGTAAGATTCAGCATAGCCCAGAAAGACAGCAGGGAAACCATCCAGAAGAGGGACAGGGTAAATCCAGTCACAGGAGCAGAGAGGAGAAAAGAAACACAGAAACCGTTCAACAGAAAATCCCCCATCAACCGTCACCCTGCTCTTCTAGTAATTGTGGAACTCTTATTGAACATCAAAGAGCCCCCACAGGAGAGAAGCCTTTCAAGTGCTCTGACTCTGGGCAAAGCTTCAGTGAGCACTCACACTTTACGAAGCATCGGAAAATACATACAAGAGAGAGACCCCATCACTGCTCAGACTGTGGGAAAAGCTTCCGGAGCAGCTCATACCTTGTTATCCATAGGAGGACCCACACAGGAGAGAAACCTTTCAATTGCTCTGACTGTGGGAAAAACTTCATTAGCAGCTCATACCTTGTTAATCATAGGAGGACCCACACAGGAGAAAAACCTTTCAATTGCTCTGACTGCGGGAAAAGCTACAATAGAAGCTCAGACTTTGTTACCCATAAGAGGACCCACACAGGAGAGAACCCTTTCAATTGCTCTGACTGCGGGAAAAGCTACAATAGAAGCTCAGACTTTGTTACCCATAAGAGGACCCACACAGGAGAGAAACCTTTCAATTGCTCTGATTGTGGGAAAAGCTACAATAGAAGCTCAGACTTTGTTACCCATAAGAGGACCCACACAGGAGAGAAACCTTTCAATTGCCCTGACTGTGGGAAACGCTACAATTACAAGTCAACCCTTGTTTCCCATAGAAGGACCCACACAGGAGAGAAACCTTTCAATTGCTCTGACGGCGGGAAAAGTTCAGTCAGAAGTCAACCCTTGTTATCCATTGAAGAAGCCACACAGAGAAGAAACTCTTCTGCTGCTCTGACTGTGGGAAAAGCTTCGGTATAAGCTCATACTTTGTTAAACTCAGGATGATCCACACAGGAGAGAAACCTTTCAGTTGCTCTGAGTGTGGGGAAAAGCTTCAGTAGAAGCTCAGACCTTGTTACCTGTAGGAGAACCCACACAGGAAAGAAACCCTTCAGCTGCTCTGACTGCAGGAAAAGGTTGTCAGGGCTCCTGCATTACTAGCCATCAGATAATACGTACAAGAGTCACCTCATAACATCTCTGATTGCAGAAAAGGCTTCAAACACAAGTCAGACTTTGTTAAACATAAGACAACCCACAGAGGAGAAAACCATTCAGCTGTTCTGACTGCGGGGGAAGTCAGAACTCAAATCTTATTAGCCTTCGGAGGACTCAGAGGGGATAAATCTATAACCTGAGTTCCCTTTAGCCTGTGTGGCCAGTTGGCTGTGATACAGCCTATTAAATGCCATGCAAGCTTATAGGGCTTTGGTGGGAAGAAATACCTCTTATCTACTGGTCTCAACCCTGGCCTTGGCCTGCCGTGGCCAGAGGACAGTTGGTTATCCCACAGCCCCAGATCTACCATGGCAGGGAGAAGAGTATCTTCCTCCTTCCCCTTCACAGTAGCACCTAAGCTGGGGGAGCAAGAGCTTGTGGGAGTCTTTTCGTTATCGGCAAGGAGTCCAATGGCACTTTATTGACTAATAGAAGTGTTGGAGCATAAGCTTTCGTCAGCAAAGACCCACTTCATCAGATGCATGTATAAGGTGCCACAGGACTCCTCGCCACTTTTGCAGATTCACACTTACATGGCTACCCCTCTAATACTTGTCTCCTCATTGTAGCCTTTCAGTGGCTTGCATGTCAATTCCCTTCATCTTTGAGATCACACTCCTACCTGAAGCCCTCAACCAGTATTCCCTCTAAAATTTTCCATCCAGGAGTAGAGCGAGTTTTTTCTTGTGCACACAAAGTGACATTCTGTGCACTTGTTTGGGTGTGTGCCACTGTGGCACACAAGAGTTACTGAGAATTTTTGCACACACGCACGTATTTATATATATATATATACACACACACACACACAATTTAAATTGTTATGGAAGAAAAATACTGAAACAAAAGGTGCATGACCCTGCACACATGCACCCTGAAAACTTTCCCGCTTGGCACCCGGTTTCATTCCCACCCAGCCTTGATCCTTTGTTCCTGCATCCATGAGTTCCTCCTCTGCTGCACCCGTATCCTATGCACCCTTTACCACTAACCCTGCTTTGTGCCTTCTTTGCCCCTAACTTCTACAGTGTCCCCGTCATCTCAACCCCTCCAATTTCCTCCCTGTCTAATCTAGTGAAAGTTTAGTGATTTGTAAAGCATAAAAAATGAATGCATTGTCCCTCGCCATTGATGCTAAAGCTCATTCTGCAGTTGCAAGTTAATGACATTCAGAAATTGAATTTAGGGATATCACCAGAAAATTTCATCCAGCTCTTTTTCTTTAGTCCACATTACTGCACTGTATATAGGATGCATAATCAATAATTAGATTATTTTTTATAGTATCCGCATGCTTTAGCCCCCTGTGAATCATAGAAAAGTCCCTTTAATATGTCATCAATAGAAAATAATCAACATCCATTAAGAAAGTTTTAGTTGCTTGTACACAATATGTGTGAGAGAGAGTGAGATTGAAAGAAATAAGTTCCACAATGAGAAAAATAGTCATTGGTGCAATCAACACTATTGACGTAACTGATGCCTTACAAGTGACAAGACTATAGGGGATCAGAGAGAATTGTTCTTGAGATGGTTTAGGCTCTTAAATATGAACAGGACACAGAACATTTCTCTAGTCATTTACCACCTATTTTATCCCTCAGCCTACAGATTTACATTTTGAGATCCCGAGATGGAGCTCTTTAGTGAAGTGGAATTGGAACCAGACCTCCTCACCACACTGCCCCGGTTGCTAGAGCAGCCCAGTCCCTCACCTCCACATGGTCCTGGCTTTGGCCTTGGCTGCTGGAGCAGCTACTGGAGTGACCCCACCACCATGTGGCTCTGGGCTGGGGCCACTGAAGCATTCCCTGCCTGTTATGCCGCTACAGCTCAAGCCCTGGCCAAGTCTGCCAAAGCATACACTGCCCACAACACAGCTATGGCTCTGGCTTCAGCCAGGCTGCTGGAGCAGGCCCTGACTGTGGCTCTTGCCCTGCCCTTGTCCAGGGCTGCTAAAACAAGCACTGTCTCCCACACAGCCCACCCTGGAGCAGTTGAATAGTCACTGCATGACTCTGCTTTGGAGGTGGGTGGATCTCAACCTTAGAGGGAATCCTGATCTCAACCCTCCAGACTCCAAACCTCTATTTCATCCCTGAGGCTCTCAACCCCAGGCCCACCCCAGAGACAGCTCTTACTCCTCTGTTCTCCAACTCTTTGCCCCAACCCTAAATCCCTTCCCACAATCCAAATTCCCTGAGCCTCACTCCTGCCACATGAATTTATTTTTCTGTACCAATACAGAGATTGTGTGTCTCATATTCCCTGCCTCTAGGTACCCTATCATGGTCGGGCTGAGCCCAAGCCACTCCCCAGAATCTCCTAGGAGAGAGGCAGGGACTCCCCATGTGAGGAGAATGGGAGGGCAGGTTCATCCACAGCAAGCGAGTTAAAGACTTCCAAAGCATGCAGCTGTTCACATCACCTAGTGCTGGAGTCTCGGTCCCACTCCTCACTCTGCAAAGGGATTTTATTATTAGAAGCCTTATAATCACTCAGACACCAACCCCAATACATAAGATGTCCAACTCTTGCTGTCCATGGACAAGTATCTGCCTCACTATACAATGAGACAGTTCAAAGGGATTAAGAGAACTTGTTTCAACTCCCCAGCTCAACTGTCCAGAACAAGACAGGCACTAGACAACAAAACCCCACTAGTCTAGAACCTATTCCATGAGCACAGCCCTGTGCTTTCTCCTTCAGGGATGGACCAAACAGCCTCTGAAGCAGGGTGGATTGATTTAAATAGCTTTGATTTAAATCTCTACTTTTAGTCATAATTTAAACTGGCAAGCAGAAAACCTATGTTTAAATGAGTAATTAATCATTTAATTTATACTTTTAAAATATTTTCCTAAAGGATGGTCAAGTCTTATTGATTAGCAACCTTTAAAACATGTTGATTTATATATAAATATAACCTTTATGCCAAATTTGGTGCTTCTATTTACTAACCAGGAGAATACACTCAGTACAGCTACCAACTAAATAAATGCCCAGATAATTGTGTAACTTACATGTAATCAGATTCTTAACTTTTACATTTTTATTCTATTACAAAATGGTGTGCAATAGGAACACTTAAGAGACAAGGTTTTACCCCATTTATTATTTGCTAAGTGGGGGCTACTTTTTTAAAAACATATGATTTGCATCTACTTCTGTCTGGACAGAAATTCGATTTAAAATAAACAAAACCAGCATTTAATTTTTGCATGAAATAAAACTACCTTAAATGTGAAGGACACCTAACAAAAAAAGTATCCAAACATATTTTGCATCTAAAATTCATTTTTTAAACAAAGGAAATATCCATAGTTAATTTAACAGATCAAATCTATTCATCATGTTCTTCAAGATGTTAGAACGCTCTCATAACCAGTTTTTTACTGAGAGAAGAGGAAAACAATTTTTTCTACTTTGTCAACTCTCGGTTTTGCATCCATGAATGAACTAATCATTGAATTGAACTAGCTGAATAAACCAAAGTGCTAAAAACATTCTCTCTTGACCTGCAGAAGAAGCTACTGCTGATGTAAACACTGGTTCTGGGTACTTACACTAGTGAACTGGTAGAATTTCTTTAAAAGTTGACAGGAGACATGTTCTATTTCATTTTTAAATTTAATTAATAAGTTATTTAAATAGGTTATGATAAATTTAGGCCATAACCATTTTTAATTTAATTTTAAAGGTATTTTATTAAAAACAAAGCCTATTTAAATAGGATCACAATTCCAATTTTAATAAAGCTCTCCTGCCCTAGACAGGAAGAGACTTGGGGACATGGGGATT